AGTTGAAAGAAGTGAGGTTCGTGCCGCAGTTAACAAAGAATATCATTTCTCTTGGTACTTTGGAAGCAGCAGGTTATCGGGTGCTCTTAGAGGATGCTACTGTGAAGGTCACGAAGGGTTCTATGGTGGTGATGTGAGGTGTCAGGGAAAACAACCTATACTACTTGAAGGGCGAGATATTTACAGGGGGTCTGACAGCTTCTATCACTATAGAAGATGACACTACCAGCTTATAGCACATGCATTTAGGACACATTGGTGATAAATCCCTGTAGACATTGACGAAACAGAGGCTATTGAAAGGTGTGAAAACCTGTAAGATGGAGCTGTGTGAGCATTGTGTACTTGAAAAGAATGCTAGAGTGAAGTTCGGCACCGCTATTCATAAATACCCAAGGTATATTGGATTACATTCATACAGATATTTAGGGGCCTTCCAAGTATACATCACTTGGTGGGGCCAACTATTTGTCACTTTCATTGATGACTATTCTAGGAGATATTGGGTATATACAATAAAACATAAACATGAGGTCTCAGATATTTTTGTGGAGTGGAAGAAGAAAATGGAGCTGCAGACAGGTAGAAAGGTGAAGACTCTTCGTTCAGATAACGGTGGAGAGTACAAGAGTGATCTATTTTTATAGTTTTGTCGGGATCACGATATTAGGCGACACTTCATAATTCGAGATATACCGTAACAGAACGGGGTGGCTGAGAGATTGAACCCTACCTTACTGGAGAAGGTGCGATGTATGATGATACAAAATGGATTGCCTAGATCCTTTTGGGCCGAGGCGTTAGTTTATGCGAACAATCTCGTTAATAGGTTATCATGCATTGTGATACATGGGAAGACTCCTATGGATCATTAGTCTGGTTTGATGGCTAGTGACTATGAGTCACTTCGGATATTCGGGTGTCCTGCTTATTATCATGTCACTGATAAAAAATTGAATCTGAGGGCGAGGAAAGCAGTCTTTATAGGATTTAGAGAAGGTGTTAAAGGTTTTAAGTTATGAGATCCACATGACAAGAAGATAGTCATTAGCAGAGATGTCATATTTGACGATGCATACATGATGAGACCTTAAGTTCCTCGACAGGTGGAGGAAGATCAGATTAGTAGGATATCGCAGCAGGTAGAGGATGATATGATTTTACCCACTCCAAATAGCATTGTATCCATTGAGGCTCCTACAAAGGTGATACTAGAAGGAGATGAGATGACAGACGAGCATTTGGCGGATACAGTGGATGGTGAGACTCAGGATCAAAGTCATGTTCAAGAGTCCATTACAGCAAATAAACCTAGAAGGGTGATTCGGCGACCAACTGGATATAATGATATCATGGTTGTATATGCTTTATCAGTGGAGGTTGTTGATAATATGATTCCTTCTACATTCAGGAAGGCAGAGTCTAGCTCTGATTCGATCAGGTGGAGGGAAGTTATGGAGGAGGAGATGCGGTCTCTTCAGAAGAACGACTCTTAGGAACTTACAAAGCTACCTAAGGAAAAGAAAGCTATTGGTTGCAAGTGGGTATATACGAAGAAAGAGGGATCTTCTATTGGGGACATTAGGTATAAAACCAGATTGGTTACCAAGCGATATGCACAACTTGAGGGTGTTGATTACAACAAGGTATTTTTACCCGTTGTGAAACATTCGTTGATTCGGATTTTATTAACATTGGTGGCATAGCTGGATTTGGATTTGGTCCAGATGGATGTTAAGACAGCCTTCTACACGAAGATTTAGATGAGGAGATCTACAACCCTTGGGATTCAAAGCTGCAAGAAAAGAAGATTTAGTGTGCAAGCTAAAGAAGTCTCTTTATGGTTTAAAGCAATCACCGTGACAGTGGTACAAGAGATTCGACAGCTTTATGATTGGCCATGGATACACGAGGAGCCTATATGACCCATGTGTTTACATGCACAAGCTACATGATGGTGAGTACATATATTTGTTATTATATATTGATGATATGCTTATTGCTTTCATGAATTCTTCCGCTATTCAAAAGTTAAAAAGGTACTGTCATCTGAGTTTGAGATGAATGATCTTAGAGAAGCTAAGAAGATATTGGGTATGAAGATCGAGAGAGACAGGGTGAAGAGGAGATTGAAGCTTACACAGAGGAGTTACTTGCAGAAGATGTTGAAGAAATTTAGCTTTGATGGTAATACAAAAGCAGTTAGTACTCTATTGGTTCCCCACTTCAAGCTTTCAGCTTTAATGTCACATGTTTTAGTTGAGGACAGAGATTATATGTCAAAGGTTCCATATGCCAGTGCGCTGGGTAGCTTGATGTATGTGATAATGTGTACGAGGTCAGATTTATCACAAGCCGTGAGCATGGTATCGATGTATATGTATGACCCCGGGAAGGATCATTGGGAGGCCATGAAGTGGATTCTACGGTATGTTAAAGACACTGTGGATGTTGGTTTAATTTTTTAGAATAATGAGAAGATTGGGCAGGATTGTATTGACTATATGGATTCTAATTATGCGGGGGATCTTGACAAGCGTCGGTCTACTTCAGGATACATGTTTACATTAGCAGGAGCAACAGTATGTTAGAGATGTACACTTCAGTCTACAGTGCCTCTTTCTACTACAGAGGCGGGGTATATGGTGGTGACTGAAGCTGTTAAGGAGGCTTTGTGGTTGCATGGATTGTTGGAGGACTTGGGGATTGCACAGGAGACCATTCAGGTATTGTGATAGCATGTCGGCTATCTATTTGGTAAAGAACCAGGTTTATCATGTACGCACGAAGCATATTGATGTTAGATTTTACTTTGTTCGTGATGTTTTGGATGATGGAGATGTCATATTGGAAAAAATCCACACAAAAGATAACCCTATAGATACGTTGACCAAAGTTGTCTCGGGTGTGAAGTTTGGCCATTGTTTGGAGCTACTGAACATTCTTCAATGTTGAGGGCCTTTGGAGGCCATTTGGGTGAACTACGTTCGGTTTGATTCCTTGGGCAATAGGATATGTAGGCAGTCTTTTTGATACATCCGGATTGGATTTGTTAATTTCGATTTGAGCTCTCGTTTGGGTCCCTGACTTGTTGTGGATTGAGTCCATTATCGTGGGGTTGATTCCACTTCGTACTGGACGCAATAAGTGAGACATTTGGATGTTTTGGTGTCGGCTCAGTTTCGGGAGAAACTTCACCGATATGGAGATTTGTAGAGGTGGCAAACACGCGACGGACAGCTCAGGAAAAATCAGCAGAGAGACAGTTTTCAGGCTGTCCGGTCGACCACGAGTCAGCTACGGTTGACCGAAAACGTGCACAGAGAGGCAGTAGGTTTCTGGAGTTGGGACGGTCGACCGCCGAATTCGTCGCGGTCAACCACCGAATTCGTCGCGGTTGACTACCAAAGTTCGTTCGACTGCCGCGGTAGTCCGCGGACACTGTAATCGATTTTACGAGTTTCTATCATTCTGTCCGGTCTACCGCGGAGTCAAGTGCGGTCGACCGCGACTCGGGTCTGAGATGGGCTTTGGGTGTTCAACCCGTTTCGTTTGCTGTTTGTATAAAACCCTAAACACGATTAATTAGGGTTAAGCAAGGACGATTTGATTAGACTTTTGAGAGAGAGTATTATGCATCCTTTGTGGGAGGATTTGTGAGAGATCTAGAGAGCTTTGTTATAGGGTTTATTGGTGAGATTTGTAACCCTATTTGTATTCTCTTAATTTCTAATAATAAGAACTCCCCCCTCCTTACCCAGCGGACGTAGGCAACTTGTCGAACCACATAAAATTCGTTTGTCTTGCTGTGGTGATTATGTTTTGCTGGTATGGTTGTGATTTATCTCGTTCTTGTTCGTGTACTTTCGTGTGATTCGAGTTTCGTTGCGCACAACAACAAAGACTATTCACAACTTCTAATACAATTTTCTAAGTATTCGATTGTATAGATTTACCATTATAGTATCTTCATGATATTATATGCATGTATAAAATAAAACCATGCCTAATATTTAATGCTAGTGTCACATCTTGAATTGTTACTAGCGATTGTCGATGCTCAATGCGAGCAATAGACTTGACTCAGAAAACATGACCATCGTACATTGAATTGGCACCAAAAGTGAGTAAATCAACAAGCATCCTCCGCAAAAAAATTGTTTTGAGTCCCGTTTGCTCCAAAATAAACTAGGTGACAACTTTCGGTAATTGCTAAAATTAAAATATTGCATCTTTGTAACTTGTAAGCGATTGTTTTGACTTTGTTTTCTTATTTATTTATTTATTTATTAATAGTTATATTCGAACTGAGCTACCATACATACAGGATGCGACTAATTTAGTTAGAGCTATAAAAACGCATAATTAACTATTAATATTGTTAATCCAAATTGCCTGATTATATAACATCATCAAACCTTGCTGGATCAAATACGCATGGTTTAATTAGAGATTTACAATATCAATGAATATGTTAGTTACACAATGTGTGTATTATAATCTTAACCCTGTAGATACGCCTTCATAATATATCAAAAGAAGTATCAATCATGCACGCAGTTAAGAATTATTAGTTTTATTTATGTAGCTATAGAAATATTAAAAGCACACACATGTACATATATATCAGTGGCATGTATTTAATAGTTAAAATAAATATGATTAACACTAATCTACTACTAATTATCTTCAAAGTTACCATAACTTACATACTACAGGGAAGACAAAGTACTTGGATTTTAAGGGAGAAAAGTGGAAAAGTAGAAAATCTGTGATTGCACTGAATAGTATAACTAAGACTAGTCAAAAAATATATATAGATAATATAATTCTTTTCACTATTTTTTTTGAAACTAATTACCAGCACTAATTAATATATGTAGTTAAACCTTAATTAGGATAATTTCCTGCCTGAAGGATAGGGCACTTTGGTAATTAGCAGCTCCCTCCCCTAAAATGCCTTCCTTATTACAGAACCCCGCAAAAGCCTCCACATAGATTCATCACAAATCGCCTCCAACGCTCATCGACCGACACGTGTCCTTCTCTCCCCTCCGATTTCTCTCTCTTCCCACCTCCAAAGGACCAAGCTTTAGAGAGAGGGTAGAGAGAGAGAGAGAGAGCGAGAACGCCCCATTTCTTCTCTCCGAACCCTAATTCGATCCCCAATCGGATATTTTCCCGCCGAATCTTGATCGTTCTCACGAATTCTACAGATCAGATCTCGAGGTTTGTTGTATTGGCTATTCTAGGGTTTAGATTTAGCTTCAATTGCTGTTGGATCCATTTAGAATCATTCAGATCTATACGTTTTTGTTTCGTTCCTGTTTTGAATCAATGATTTTTTTAATTTCAGAGGATTATTATGTTTTTTTAAACTGATTTTGATTGGGTTCGGCGTGAAAATTTAATTTTTACACGATCAATCTTTATTATTGTAATAGGACGGTATCGAAATGGACGATCATGGTACATAGGACTTCTTAATTTGAAACTATATTGTATGGGAGGGAATATTTGTTAATTGTTGCAGGGATGAGCTGAATTTTTCATCTTTGAAGGAATCCTGCATTTAAATTTGCTGATTTTGAGACGTGAATGCGTTTTTTGTTAGATTCCTTTATCTGATTATTGTTCATGATAATTCGTAGTTTTATTTTTGGGATATGAGGGAAACCTTGGCAAGACACTAGGGTTCCCGGCTGATGCCCGAGTTCCCCGATCCACAACCCGTACCAAGTAAACCCGTGTGTGTAGGCCTCACCTGCCACTCGCACGCTTCGAACCAAGGGACCTGGGGGTGTTGGCAGTATAACCATTGTGTCCCGACACCACCTGTGCCACCCCTGGTGGGTATGATAGTTTGTAGTTTGTTCATGTAATTTATTCAGCTTCTGAAGAGCTGGTGGTATGTGAATCGTGGGGCTTTGAAGATTACATAAATTGTATTGTAATCCTGCACTCGGCAGCCATATTGCTAAGAGTGTAGAATTATAACCCTCAGTTCCCACCAAAATTTCAGAGTTCCGGTGTAGTAGAAGGGACTTTAAGATAATATTATAGCAACACTAGTTCAACTACTATTGGGCACGCATTTAAAAGCTACTTAGAAACATAGTAGGCTGCATAAATAGAATAAAAACCCTGTTTTTCTATCCATAAAAGAGACGGTCAATGTACGAGAACATGTTAGACTGTAACATTATAACCTTCAAGTGTTTGGTGTAGTGCAGGGGAGTTTAAGAGATCTTTCATCGTCCAGGGGTATTTTCTTAAATTTGTTCCTATTTTGTTGTGACAATTCTGACATACAATTGAGTATGTTGATACTTGTTTTCCAGAATGTTCATGTGACCTGTGCCCTCTGGGTTCTGTCTTCCTTTTGTTCCTTGATACTTACAATCTTCCTGCTTTTGAATTTAGGGAGATCTGAATTGCTTGTTGACGAGTTGAGGTGGAAAGTATTCTATATCTGCAACAGTCATGAAGAAAGCCTTCGACCAGACTGTTCGCGACCTGTAAGAGTTTTAGCTTGTTTTTGGTCTTCAAGCTAATATCCTGAATGCTGCTTCCTCAGCCTTTTAGTTTAAGATTGTTAGTGATCAATATGTTCACTAGAAAGGCTTCTCACTTAATTGGGGTAATTAGACTCATGGGATTCCTTTTTATGTCTTCAGCAAGAGAGAGGTGAACAAGAAAGTTCTGAAGGTGCCTGGCATAGAGCAGAAGGTAAATTATCTAGGTTCCCCCCAACCCCCCGTAACCACCTTAAAAATAGGGTAATTACGGAAACCACATTTCAATTTCAATTTATAAATAAACCTTAAAAGTGGGTGTTTGTTGCAATCAATGACCTCCCAGTCAAAGTTTTCACTAAAAGCACAAAATTACCCTTAAAAAACTCACATTCAAGGTACGCGACTCATTTTAGTGTTTGGATCTTGTTAGGATATAACTTACGTACTTTGAACTTGAATTTTATAACCTTATTTTTGGTTTTTTTAAAGTGAAAATTTGACTGGGAGATGGTTGATTGCAAGCAAAACCCATTTTAAAGGTGGTTTATGTATAAATTAAAATTGAAAGGTGGATTTCACATAATTACCTTATTTGTAAGGTGGTTTCTCCCCAAATAATACTTGAAATTTTGACTTTTCTTGGTTGCATTTTTTAAATTTGAGATAATAATAAAAGTTCTCTCTTTCTAATACCTTTCAGATTCTTGATGCGACTAGCAATGAGCCTTGGGGTCCTCACGGATCCCTTCTAGCAGATATTGCACAAGCGACTCGTAACTAGTAAGCTGATATTTCTGCATGTTTCACTTACTATTATTTTCTTGCTTTTCAAACAGCATAATCATGTATGGATAAACCATGCAGTCATGAATACCAGATGATCATGCATGTAATATGGAAGAGGCTTAATGACACTGGAAAAAATTGGCGACATGTTTACAAGGTTAGGCGTTTCTTCTTTTCCTTTCTTGGACTGTATAACTATCTCTCATTTGTTATATTTGTGATTGACATTCATGATTTTTTTTCCATTTGAGAAGTTATTCATGAAAATTTGAAAAACAAGTAGTACTGTGCCGCATTGCTGCTTTATTTTACTGATTTTTTTTGCAACAATTATTCATTCATGTGGCTTCAGGCTTTGACTGTTTTGGAGTACCTCATTGGTCATGGATCTGAACGTGTCATTGATGAAATCAGGGAACATGCTTACCAGATATCAGTAATGCAATTAACCTTTGACTTTCACTTCCACTGATCAAATTATAGCTTTGACTAATGTATCCTTTGGTGCCTTTCTGCTAATCTAGATATCTGTGACTAATCTTTGCTTTATCTACTCTACTTGGTTATGCAACTTATTGACTGTTTCTTTATGCCAGACCTTGTCCGACTTCCAGTATATTGATTCTAGTGGAAAAGACCAGGGAAGCAATGTAAGAAGGAAATCTCAGAGTCTTGTTGCTCTAGTAAATGACAAAGAAAAAATACAGGAGGTTAGACAGAAAGCCCTCGCTAACAAGGACAAGTAAGTTCTCCTCACCCTAAAATTCAATCTATTACTGTACAGTTGATGGGCATTTTAAGATGTCATGTAGTTATACAGATTCCGTAGTACATTTTCAACTGGTGGTAGGAGCCCATATTCTGGTGGTGGAGGCTATGGTGATCGTTGTGATGATGATCGCTATGAAGGCCGATATAGAGATAGTTATGAAGGCCGCTCCAGAGATAGTTATGAAGGCCGATACAGAGATGAGGATCGAAATGGGTATGGAAGAGAAAGAGATTGGGGTTCCAGGGATGATGAAAGATACGGAAGAGGTGATTCATACAACCGAGATGGAGATCGCTATGGTAGAGATTCTGATGAACGTTATAGAAGAGATAGTTACAGAGATGATGACTACAGAGGCCACAGCAGCGATGACTCCCAGTTTGGTCCAAGAAGCAGGAGCTTGGATAGAGATAGGGATCGTTTTTCAGAAGAGGACGATCGTTATTCATCTCGGTATGCATATCCTAATTTGTTTCAAGTCCAGCTACCAATAAGCAGTGCATTCAGGTCAATTCATTTTTATTCCTGTAAGAACATACTCTTGGAATAGTTCGCGATGCAGCTGACAGTTCATTCTGTAATGAATTCTTATGGCCTCGTAATCCTAAATGAGTGATACCTAGTATTTTCTTATCAATTCTTGTTTTCTGACAAGAGTTTTAAAGACGTACATTTTCTCAATTTGCTTTTCCAGGGCTAATTCGTTTACTCCTTTTTTGCAGTAACAGTGGTGGCAGAGGTGACGAGCCATCTCAAGAGGAAAGGTGGATTTTCATTTTAATTAAGACATATCTACATCCTCTTTCTGCATTTTGTATGTTGAGCTCAGATTCTTTTTTTCTTTAACTGCACCATTTACTATTGATTGATAAATCCTGTTACAGCCGACTTGAGCGCAAGCTTTCTGAGCAAAGTCCGCCTCCCAGTTATGAAGCAGCAACAAAAGATACTCGTGACCATGTGCAGGATGAACGGTATGTACCCCAATTCTTGCGGTGATATTTCAGTATGACAATGCATGTTTTCCTCTAACATAATTCTTAAATTTAAGGGGTGATGGGAATGTCACTCTACCTACGACAAAAGTATACTCGCCTCCTGCAACTAAAGTAAACTCGAGCACAAGTCCAGATCCTAATCAGTCTGCGATAGGTGCTTCTTCTTCAGCCTCAAAAAAAGAAGGTGACGAATTTGATGAATTTGACCCCCGTGGTTCTGTTCCAGGTATCAAAGAGTTTCAGGTTCTTTCAAGCTTCTCTGAGCAATATCATACTTACAACATCTATCTTGAGTTAATGTTAATTGTATTCTTCTGTTGAACCTTGTTGTTTTAACCTTTAGCTAATCACAGCTGTGCTTCCTGCAAGTATGTCTATAAGTTATTGTATGCTAACTTGTAAAGTCTTGACTGAAACAAATTCATGTCGGCTCTTCGCCACATCATATTCACACAATATGTTACAATTTATCACTGTTTTTTTTTTTTTTTTTTTTTTTTGGTCGGGGGGGGGGGAGGGGCGGCGCGCGACGGTCGTTGAAAATTTTGATATAGGATGGCCCAACCATAGACATATAGAGTTCACAATATGCTTATTGCATACTTAGTTGGTCGATGAAGGTTAAGAAGATTTCTTTTTTCCCATCACTATAAAGACTTTTAGCGTGCTAAGTAGTTGTTTTTGCTTATAAAGTAGTTTTGAAAGACAGAATTTTACAAGAGAAGTTTGTTGTGATGTTTTGAGTCCTAATCCAGCAGTGATCATCCCCATTATGTAAAATAACCCTAAGGTTTATATAATTTGCTCTCGTCTGAAGCTATGTGACATTGGGCGGGTGACCTTACATGTTGAAACTAAAACATATACGGTAATTTGGTTTTGATGCTATCTGATAAGGACTGGGTGAATAATCTGTATATGCTGGGAACTAAGACATGATAATTTGGTTTTAGCTCGGGGAAAGTTTGTTACTTGCGTAAGTTATACTGGTATAAGGTTTAACTCTCATTACCTAGACGGTGTTGCCTTTGACATTTACGCTTTTTCTGCTGTTTTCTTTCTACGTATACAACCAAATAGTGAACTTTGTAGCTGCTATATCTATCAATATTTTGATTTTTGAACCATGATTATTAAAACAGAACTTCATAAACCACTAGATCAGGATCTTATCAATTGGAAGGCATCTAGGAAATAAACGCATTCTAATCATGCAAACTATTGAATATTTACATAACTACACAACATCATTTTCTTTCATGGGAAGTGAATGCAACCTTTTCATTTTGTTGATCAGCTACCTCAGCTCCAGCAAGTGGTTCAGGAGTTGACCTCTTTGGAAATCAATCTCCGATAGATCCAATTAATTCATTGGCTCTGGTTCCAGTGAGTTATACTACCACTTCAGAAGTTGATATCACAGCAGATTCAGGTGTTGGAACAAACTTTGTGCCTTTGACATCAGCATCAAATGCATTCAGCCAGGTATATACTTGACCGTACACTTCAGATGTCATATACTGTTTATTCATTATAAAATGGCCTAGAAGATGGTTGAAGAACCAAAACTTATGTTATAACCTATGCAGCCAAGTGAAGATCCCTTTGGAGACGGTCCATTCAAGGTGACAACAACACAACAAAATTCTCAAGCTCCACAACAGGGGTTCGCACCTGCTACTACTCCAGCACCGGCAGCCTCAAAGGTGGAAACAGCCCCAGCCTTTGATTTTGGGGATCCCTTGGGTGGTCTCACATACACTCCTACTGTCACAAATGGTCATCAACAGTTTACTCCAAACCCTCCATCTTTGTCCAATGATTTTCCTATGACTCAACCTAACAATGGTTCGCTTGGTGGGATTCCTCCGTCGGGATCCTCTGGTTTATATCCTCAACAGCCATATCCACAACCTGCATATCCCTCAAATACGCAAAGAGCAAATATAAATTATCCTTCACCGCCATCCCAACAACCCGCATATCCTACAAATATGCCTACATCGAATATGAACTACCCCCTACAATCTGGACCATCTGCCGGATTGGCACCTCAGCCTGTCCCTGCACCAAATCCTACTCCTGTAAACTATCTTACTCAACCAGGATCATCTTCTCAGTCTGCGATGCAAACAGCTCTTACTGTACCTGGACAGCCTGCACAACCACCAAAAGACAAGTTTGAGACCAAATCTACGGTTTGGGCTGACACTTTGAATCGAGGTCTAGTTAATCTAAACATTTCGGGGGGTAAGTGCTATCTCTTTTTCTTGAATTTTGCAAATTCCCATGAGCTTGGAGGGTTTTGCACAAAATCTGTCAGAACTTTTTAATTCAGAGAAAACCCTCCTAAGCTATTGAAAAAACTGATAAAAGATGTTAACATGTAAAGTTTAAAAAAGTGACCTGGTTGTTATGTGTTGTTCTCCCACATAAATGTTCTTTATTCAAATTTCTTGTCACGAACTTTAAGTTGCCATAATTCAAACTTATTGCTCTATCGGGTAACGCTGTTTATGAGATTTTCCATTAGTTTATGGGAGTTTAGTTTAGTTTGAAAGGTTAGGGAAATTTTATCCCATCTACAAATTTCAAGGAGGGTTTTGTGTAAAACCCCCCAATATTCATAGTTGTTTTGTGAAATCTACCCTTTTCCTATTGCATAACCCGAGTTGTTGAAAAAACTAAAAGAAATCTATTTTTTCTGCAGCTAAAGTTAACCCATTAGCGGATATAGGGGTCGACTTTGAAGCCATAAACCGGCAGGATAAAAGGAAAGAGAAGAGCTCTGCAGCTCCTGTAGCATCTACAATAACCATGGGCAAAGCTATGGGATCAGGTTCTGGCATTGGTAGAGCTGGTGCTGGTTCCCTTGCTCCTTCGAACCCCATGATGGGCTCCGGGATGGGCATGGGCATGGGCATGGGCATGGGCATGGGCATGGGAAGAGGCATGGGCATGGGTGGCTATGGTGGTGGTATGAATCAGCCTATGGGGATGGGCATGGGCATGAACAGGGGCATGGGCATGGGCATGGGCATGGGGATGAATATGGGCATGGGCATGAACCCCGGAGCTCAAATGCGCCCTCCTGCTCAAAACCCTGGCATGCCCGGAGTTGGGTATAATCCGATGATGGGCGGCTATGGCTCACAATTGCCACATGGAGGTGGAGGATACAGGTGAGGTATTTTTTTTACTCGTTCATAGTCAACGACACCATCATGTATTATTGGTAATTTTGAGTCTGTAGATTTTGGTCCTTACTATTTCTTAGCTGTGATTATTGAGAATGTATCCTGTAAAAGATTTGTTCTACGAAAATGCTACAAACTGTGCTGTATGAAGAGTTGGGCTGTGCCTATTCGAGGGGGGGATGTATTTGGAATTGGTTTATTTGTATTGGTGTTTTTGGTGAATTAAGTGAAATATTTATTGCTGCATTTGGCTGAATATATGATGAAAATTTATTACCTCTTTCATGTTTCTGGCAGAAATGTCGATTTTATATGTTTCCTTTTGCCTTCCTCTATGTTGTTCTTTGCACGTTTGACTCGTCATCTTCTTTAGGTGATATTTCATGCTGTTTTGGGATTGTTTGTTTCTTGTTTTCTCAAGTAAAATTTCGGGAGTGCCTCTTATTTTATTGAAATATGTAATCCACGAACTGATAGTAGTTATTGTTGTTTTGATTATTTGCTGATGTAATATTATGATCTCCAAACAATCAAATATGCAGTGTAAAAAAATGATCATATATGTTGAGGATAGTGGAATTGAAACCTAAAATAAGGAGTCATCTTCCTCTTATTTCTCTTGTTTTATAGCACGTAACTCTATTGGAGTGGAGAAGCCACTACCATGAAAAGCAAGGAGAGAAGGACATCTCAAGTTACATGAACTGAAGGAACTCAAACCAAGTAGGCCTAAGTCAAAAGTTGATTGTATTTAGGTCGGGATGCATACCAACTTTGTAGCCGTAGTTGTCTATTATCCAGTGATAATGTGAGAAAGTGAGAATGAGTACAAAAAATGCAGTAATGTAATGTGAGCAAAATTTTTGGAACGAAAATTATCTAAATCTGCATAATTACGAAAAGGGATGAGAGAGAGAGAGAGAGAAAGAGAGGAGTGATAAGGAGAGAAATCAGTGTAAATCAGGAGCACCCATTTGTATTTTATTTCTTTCTTTCTCTCTCTCTCTCTCTCTCATTCCCTAGAGAGTGCCCATGCGCAGCCATTAGAAAATTCGACCAATAATTTGACTTTAGAAAGGGTAAACTGGAACGAGTCATAATTCACATCATTAAAACAAGTGTGTGACCATCTTAATGCTTGAAGCTACTTAACATTGCGCTAGAGAAACCTATAGTCATAAAATAAATAAATGAAAATTACACTAACATGGTCCAAAACATTCATCAAGAAACAATCAGTTAACGAAAACTACGTGCACGACACGTGACCATGGCTTTTAGCCCCTCTTCTTAATGTTTAGGTATCAATGTACAAGTTATAGGGACTTTTTCCGGCCTATAATCCAAGATTTTGACTCCCATGTTCTACCCATATATGTAGTTTTTCGAATTACTTTTACACCCAACTATATACCGAGAGTTAATTTTCGGACTGTTTGGTTGAGAGGAAATGGAGACGCGAGAGCAAATGTTGCAGCCAAATTCCTATTTCCAGCATTTGGTTAGCGTCAAGGTAGTTAAAAATGATAATCTTTTCCAAAAAAAAACTACAGCATTTTCATCTCTCTCGCAGCGCAATGAGCTCGCACGTGAAAAGTTAATATTTCGATTAGATGCATAGAGAAAACCACCTAAAATATTTTTCGCTAACAAGTAAAAAATGAGTACGTACAAAAGATCGAGGTGGGAAAGTTGAGATCGCTGCAGTCTTAATGGAAATCCACCTAAAATATTATTTGACTAGCGCTAAAAATGAGATGAAGAGAGAGTACACAGAAAGCAATTACAACAGCGCTCAATCCAAAATCTCCCTCTCAACTTGCCTAAGTTCGGCACAACTCAGTACAAAAACACTACATAAACGAACTCAGTGAGGACTCAACTCTTTATTCAATTATTTTCGGCTCAAATATTCTTGTGGATTTCTTTAGATTGAGAGAGTCACCAATTACGTGAGAGTTATTATTATTATTATTATTAATTAAAGCCCAATTCTGCGCCTAAAAAGGAGGCTTTTAATCGTGTTTTAGGAGGGCAAACGCATGAGAAATTGTGAAGGTAACGCCTCAAGCTCTCTCTTCGTTCACTGTTCATCCCATGTGACTCTTAACTTTGATTACACTTCTCATTATTTTCTCCAAAAACCTCTGACTTTGTACTTGTACAAGCTTCATTAATGATCTCTGCAACTATTTTAATCTCCAATCTATATATTAACTATGCGATTCGTGTAAATTAGACATCTATATAAACTTGTTCACATGATTCATCGCTTCTAATTAATTATCTTCTAAACCCTGACTGGATCCAACATTTCTTCCTTCTAATCAATCTTTGGAGTCCTCATTAATTTGTTCACAGAGGTTCTTATTTCTACCTTTCATTTACACATATTTTAGAGATTAAAACTGTTCAATTAGTAGAACAATGTTGTTAAACGTAACAATATTATGATTAGTCTTAAATATAACAACTTTGTCTACTTTTATGTGCCACAGATAATCTCTGATTTTGCGCTGCATCATATATATGATTCAGGTACTTCCAAGAACCTGATAAATGTTCTTCCGTCAAGAGTCCTGTAAAATGAGGAACAATGAGTACTTAGAATCCACGATCAACGAAGTCGTGACGAGCAAATCTAACAAGACGAGGCCTCAAAAAACCGCCCCATCTAGATTAGTAGCATGCCTGACATTTCTCCAGTTCGCCTTCGCAATCTACGCGACGTTCCTCCTATACTACATGAGCCCCTCTGTCGATCTTCGAACAAAGCCAGACTTTACTTGGGCCACCAAACTCGCTCGATCCTGGAAAAAGTTCGTTATACAGCCTCAAGTTGTGTCACATATTCGAGAAAGTGATGCCTGTGAATATGAAACCATCGATTTTTCACAGAAGAAATCGAATGATGTACTGATGATAAAACTCAAGCGAGAGCTCTACAACGAAGTTTTAGATTTTCAGAAGAGGACTTCGGGATCTGAAAATTTAGCCGAGCTCATGAGAATGAAGTCTAAATGGAGTGTTAATGGGCCAAATATACCGAAAATTACGGTAATATTGAATCATTTCAAGAGGAAAACACTATGTGCTCAGCTCAATTCTCTACTGAATCAAACATTGCCATTTCATCAAATCTGGGTGCTCTCATTTGGGAGCCCAAATGAAATTTCTTTCAAGAGGATTGTCGATAGTTACAACGATTCAAGAATCAGCTTCATAAGCTCAAGCTACGATTTCAAGTACTATGGAAGGTTTCAGATGGCTCTGCAGACTGAATCAGACTTTGTTTATATTCTTGACGATGATATGATCCCTGGAGCGAAATTGTTACAGATATTGTCACATGTAGCAGGGACCGAGAAATACAAGAATTCTGTTCTCGGGAGCATCGGGAGAATTTTGCCATTTCGACAGAAGGATTTTAAATTTCCGAGTTATAGAAAGTTCAGATCGAAAGAGGCGGGCCTTTATTTACCTGATCCTGCGTATGATATAACCGTCGACAGAATCGTGCAAGTTGATTTCTTGTCAAGTTCTTGGTTTCTATCGTCTGATCTTACTAAAACCCTATTTGTAGAGACTCCATTTACTTTCATTACTGGTGAAGATCTTCATCTGAGGTAAAAATTCATCGAAATGTAAGTATTTTTTTCCCGTTATTTCAGGTAC